GGCCACTGCACTCCAGTCTAGGTGACAGAGTGAGACTCCAACTCAAAAAAAGAAAAAAAAAAAAACCAGTAGATGAGATGACTGGATGAAAGGAATGTTATCCATTCATCGAGGAATTTACAAAACACTTAGTATGTGCGGGATACTGTCCTAGATGCCAGGGGTTCAGCATTAAATAAAACAAAGCCCACATCCATACCTTCGTGGAGCTTAAATAACAGACGCATGAAAACAGGAACTAACCCAACTAAGCAGCTGTTACTATAAGGTCTGACTATGCTAAATGTCATGGAGAAAGCAAAGTAACAAGTGAGATTAAAAAATGTGTCTATGAGGGAAGGGGTGTCATTTTTTAAACAGGGAGATCAGATATGACCTTAGAAGCTGGGCACGGTAGCTGATGCCTATAATCCCAGCACTTTGGGAGACAGAGACGAGAGGATTGCCTGGGTCCTTGGGTTTGAGACCAGCCTGGGCAACATGGCGAGACCTTGTCTCTACAATAAACCAAAAATTAGCCGGGCGTGGTAGCACGCGCCTGTAATTCCAGCTACTCGGAAGGCTGAAGTGGAAGGATCGCCGGAGCCCAGCAGGTCGAGGCTGCGGTGGCCAGGAGCGGCCACTGCACTTCAGTCTGGGCAACAGAGTGAGACTCCAACTCAAAAAAAAGAGAAAGAAATGACCTTAGTAAGAAGGGGGCGTTCTAGCAAAGATATGAAATGAGGGGGCAAGCCCAGCAGTAACGGGGGAGGAATGAGACAGAAAAGGGATACTATGTGCACATGCTCTCAGCAGGTTCAAGGAACTGAAGGCCTGTGTCCTCTGGGCAGGGACAAGGAGACAAATGGAAGAGCATAACTGGAGATAACTGGACCCTCAGAGCTTCCTCAGGAAAATGAGGACTCACCTTATACTCCTGGCATATGTGACAGCTGAGTATTCACCAAGTATTGTCAAGATTCACCAAAGTCTGCAGAGTCAAGTCTACACCCCATCATCTGTACCTTGTGTTCTGGATGCCAATTGTACACCCTTACTCAAATATGATAAAAACTGGCAGGGGCTCTGTGCCCTTGAATATGCTTTTTCCTCAGCCTATGTTACAGCCTGACCAGGTTCTTATGCCCACTACCCAAAAAAACTGAGAGAGAAAGTTTAATATTGCAAAGTAGCTGAAAGAGTTCTCAAATCAGAACTCAAAGGCCAGGGTTTTTAAAAGAATAATTTGGTGAGTGGGCAGAGGCTAAGGAATGAGCACTGCGGATTGGTTGGGATGAAGTCATGAGGATGGTAAAGTTTGCAGGACGCAAGTCTCTTACATAGCTTTTATCCTGTGGCCCAATATTAATTTTATTTTTATTTTATTTAATTTATTTATTTATTTTTGAGTTGGAGTCTCACTCTGTCACCCAGACTGGAGTGCAGTGGCCGGCCTGCTGGGCTCCGGCGATCTTCTGCCTCAGTCTTCCAAGTAGCCGGGATTACAGGCATGCGCTACCATGCCCAGCTGATTTTTTGATTTATTGTGGAGATGAGGTCTCGCTGCCCAGGCAGGTCTTGAACCCGCGAGCTCAGGCAATCCACTCGCCTCAGCCTCCCAAAGGCGCGGATTACAGGCTGAGCCACCGAGCCCGGCTCAATATTAATTTTATATAGGCGATTTTACCTAGAATTTTCTTTCTTTCATGCATCTTTAACCACCTCCTTCTTCTCCAATTCCGCCTTTCCCTCACCCCCTACAAAGAGAATTCATTGCTTAATATGCAATTTCCATACTACTTTGTCCTTCTAGGGAACCCTCATCACACTGTGCTGTGCTGTTTTATGTATGAGCAGCTTCCACTAAATGCAGTATCCCTGGATAGAGATGATACACATTCTGCTGTTTTATTAACTTTTTCCTCTTTCCTACATCTTCAGGCTCTCTCTGCCTGCTGTTAAGGTCTGAAAAGCTTACCCCATCTAGGCTTTTCTTTGCATTTATCTATAGATAAGTAATTAGGCTAATGGTTCTCAAATGTTAGCAGGAATCAAACCCACCTATAGGACTTACAAGACAGATCTGGGCTCCATTCCAGTGTTTCTCATTAGGTAGGTCTACAGGGGGACCCCAGAATTTGCTTTTGTCATAAGCTCCCAGGTAATGCTGAAGTTGTTAGTCCAGAAACTACACTTTGAGAACTGCTGGTTTACATGTAGGTTATACTTCACTGCTCTCCCCACACATTAGTGTTGTATATAATATAATCTATCCCATGCACCACAGGGCCTAGGATGATGCCTGGTACATGGGTGGAGTTTAATACATATTTGTTGGAGAAATAACCATTAGCTTATTACTTCAGCACACATATTAAGCTTTCCCCATTAAAAAAAAAATCCACCTACTTCACACTGCCCACATGTGACCTATCCAAGGTCATCTCATTCCCAATATCCCAGCTGATTTATGTTCAGACTAGAAACAAAATTTTAAAAACCCTTAAATGACATATTTTTAAAAGGTTAATGTGGGGAGGCAGCATATTCTCATGATTTCCTATAAAAGTAATTATTTACTATTAAAGATTTTTAATAGAATCAGGAGATATCTATGTTCAAGTGAGGAAAGACAACATAATATACTCATAATAAATTCATAATACACAGTATTATTATATGATCAATTTAATTATCTGATGAAACTGACAAACCAAAGGAGATTGTGTGATCTGCACAAAGTCAGTGAGTCAGTTGTTTTTCTACTATTAGACATAGTCACAATAAGTCTGATTCTTTTGTTCTAACCACGAGACCACTATCTTGGCTCACAGATGAGAAGGAAGGTTTTATCTTAGAACAGAAGAATAAGTCACCTATGACTCAGAACCAGAGTGGAGACACTAATATAAATTTTATTTTATTTATTTTTTATTTTGAGTAAGAGTCTCACTTTGTAGCCCAGGTTGGAGTGCAGTGGCATGCTCACAACCACCAAAGCCTCAATCTGCTGGGCTCAGGTGATTCTTCCATCTCAGCCTTCCAAGTAGCTGGAACCACAGATGTGCACCAACACGCCTGGCTAATTTTTGGATTTATGTAGAGACAAGATCTCATCAAGTTGCCCAGGCTGGTCTCAAACCCATGGACTCAGGCAATTCTCTCACCTCTGCCTCCCAAAGTGCTGGGATTACAGGTGAGCCATCATGCCCAGCTAACTTTTATTTTAATCACTTTTGTTTACGTGAATATTTAAGTCACTTACTAGTTCCTTGGCTCTACATCCTATAAAGTAGGTAAGAAAACACAGAACTTAAAGAGCATATTAGAACCAAAGAGTTGGAAGAGATTTTATACTTACTCTAATATCCACATTTTACAGTGGACAAAATTGAGGCCCAGACTGACTTAATGTCTCACAATTAGCTTAGCAGCAGTAGGTGCATATTCACTTGCTACTGACATATAGAAATGGAATTTTTTTTCATTCAGGACAAGCAATATTAAAAACTTTTGTCTGGAAACTAGCAAAAAAAGAAAAACATTCTATAAACATTATGGTATCTTTAAGTATATTACGACATGATATATATGATCCATTTATTTGTCATCATCAAAAGTAAACAACTTTGAATATCCTTACATAAATATCAAAATACATTTTAGTGCAATCTAAAATTAGGAGATATATTTCACACACAGACGGTTTTTACTTCTTTAGAAAGAGCACAAGAGTATTTGATTTAAACTGCTGACTTCAAGATCTACGTTTTCTTTTTCTTTTTTTTTTGTGAGTAGGAGTCTCACTGTCGTCCGGGTTAGAGTACAGTGGTATGCTTGATGGTCACCACAACCTCAGCCCACTGCGCTCAGGCAATCCTTCCACCTCAGCCTTCCAAGTAGCTGGAATTATGGGCGTATGCCACCACGGCCAGCTAATTATTTTATTATTGTAGAGACAGGTCTCACTAAGTTACCCAGGCTGTTCTGGCTCAAAATCTGCATTTTCTAATAAGCTAGTTTTCTTTCTAGAAGGCTGAAGCTCCTCCAGGGCAGGGATCTATGCATCTGTGCCCAGGCAAAAAGCACAGTGTTAAGGCACAGAATAGGAACTTTAAAAATATTTGGGTAAGGCTGGGCACAGAGGCTCACACCTATAATCCCAGCACTTTGGGAGACCAAGATGAGAGGATTGCCTGAACTCACAAGTTCGAGACCAGCCTGGGCAACTTGACAAGACCTCATCTCTACAATAAGTCAAAAAAATTAGCCAGGCATGATGGCATGTGCCTGTAGTTCCAGCTACATGGAAGGCTGAAGCAGAGGGATTGCCTGAGTCCAGCAGGTCAAGCTGTGGTGGCCGTGTGCGAGACACTGCACTCCAGCCTAGACAACAAAATAAGACACCAAGTCAAAAAAAAAAAGTTTGAGTAAAAAAAGTCAATCAATTTGAACTTTCCTTGGGAAAATCGAATGTTAAAATGAAAACTAAAGAAACAGAAAAATATTTCATTTCAGGTCAGGCTCGGTGGCTCAGCCTGTAATCCCAGCACTTTGGGAGGACAAGGCAAGAGGACTGACTGCCTGAGCCCACGGATTCGAGACCCACCCAGGCAACTTGGTGAGACCTGTCTCTACAAAAAATAAAAAATTAGCCGGGTGTGGTAGCGCACGCCTATAGTTCCAGCTACTTGGAAGGCTGAGGCAGAAGGATCACAGGAGCCCAGAAGGTTGAGGCTACGGTGGCTGTCAGCATGCCACTGACTTCCAGCCTGGATGACGGAGTGAGACACCAACTCAAAAAAAAAAAAAGAAGAAGAAGAATCATTTCAGCTGGGCGCAGTGGCTCAAGCCTGTAATCCCAGCACTTTGGGAGGCGGAGATGATGGGATTGCCTGAGCCCACGGGTTCAAGAACAGACTGGGCAACTTGGCGAGACCTTGTCTCTACAATGAAGAAAAAAAATTAGCCAGGCGTGGTGCCTATAGCTCCAGCTACTTGGAAGGCTGAGGCAGAAGGATCACCTGAGCTTAGCAGGTGGTGGCTGCAGGGGCCGTGAGCGTGCCACTGCACTCCAGCCTGGATAACAGAGTGAGACTCTAACTCAAAAAAAAAAACAAAACAACAATCATTTCATGCAATAGTTCTTAGAATGTGGCTGCTAGACCAGTAACTTCACTATCACCAGGGAACATAGCAGAGATCCAAGTTCTCAGAGCCCACCTGAGACCTACAGACTCAGAAACTCTGGGCTGGGAAGAAACTGTTATTTTCTCAAGCCCTCCCCTACAAGCCCAAGTTTGAGGCCTGCTACATTAAGGAACAGTTTTTAAACTCTTTAATCTGCGAACCCTTAACACTAAAAAAATAAGTAAGACTTTAAAGAACATTTGTTTGTATGTTGTAATTACCCACATTTACTGTATTTGAAAATAAAACTAAGACTTTTTAAAATACTTAGTTCATGTCAAGACAACAATAATAAACTTTACATGTTAACATGAGTAACTTTTATAATAAAATAATTATTTTCTAAAACAAAACAATTAATGAGAAGAGAGGAGAACCCTAGGGCGCTTAATTTTTTAATTATGTGGGGTGCAATTCAGGGATAGGTATACAAATGCTCATTATGAAGGTACCCTTGTTGATGAGGTGTGCCCCCGTCCTCTGGAGGTTTCCCACTACTGCCAATTAGGGTGCTTTAAAGACCAAAGCAAAGAGTAAAGATTTAAGTCAGCTCAAGGACCCCCACAGCCCCTCTCTGCTGAGCTATTCAGGACAACAATAGTGCTCAATACCGTGCACTATAATTAGCAGTCATTTTACAAACTACTTACAACACAGAAACCACACAGGCACTCACAGCATGTGAATGGAGGCACTAAGTACCTCTGAGTAGGGGACAGGGTCTCCAGAGGAACTGATGAAGCAGAAAACTCACAGGTTACTATGAAGGCACACGAACTGACACCAACTATTAACTGCAGCTTAATTATGTTTTCTGGTTCTGTGAGAGCAGAGGGAAGAATTTAGAGACATATCCTCAAGGGAAAGTGGACAGCAGATTCCAGACAGACTTCCAATTCAGGTCTCTGGACCAGAAAATCTTCTGTGGGCTGAACCACGTTTCTTAGCCACCTCCAAGTTCGTCTGATCACGTCCTGTTCCTTACTCTAGTGATTAGCTATGTGCCACTACGATGAAAAGGAATGTCAACAGATGCTGCATCAAGTGAAGAATAAAAAAGAACTTCGCTTATTTTCTGAAGTTAGAATAATGATCTCAAAAGAATCCAAAACAAAAATTTAATAACAGTGGTTCCTCTGGATTAGGAAAAATTGGGAATGGAACAGAAAAACTTTTACTTTTTATTTTTCTGTGTTCTTTGAACTGTTTCTAACCATAGTCATATGTTGCTTTTATGTTAAAAACAACATAAGCAATAGTTTTATAGACAAAAACATAAAAGGACCTGTACTATTCATTAACAATTACTTCCATTCTGAGCCCTGCATTATGGGGGAGGGGGAATCCCCAAAGGCAAGAAAAGGTGAAGGCAGCATTCCAGAGCAGCTGCCACCACGAAGCCTGGCCTTACACAGAGAGAGAGACCCAGGCTGTGAGGCTGTGTGCTCCTCTCCCACAGAGAGGCAGCCAGGTGGGCCCTGGGTGGCAGGTCCAGCTCTGGCAGTTACAGCGGGAGTGGGCCTGGTTAAGAAAACACTGTCAATAACATCCCAGCCACAGCTCAGAACTGGCTGCATAGGAGCTGCCTAGTTTCCTCATCCTACAGGTGGATGAAATTGCCTTTGCCTCACATAACCAGAGAGAAATAAAATGACATCATGCAATGTAAGGTACTCAACAGACCGCAAGACAGGATTACTCTGTGGGAAATCAGGTTTTTCATCCATAAAATTAACTATAGAGCTTTTTCAGATGGGCATATTCTTTAGTAAGTTAAACCACATCCACAATGTAGAAAGAACCCTTCAACTGTCATATGAATGACATGGATAATTTCATGACTCATGATCTGGGTCCAAACAACAGATATTCTCCAAAACAGACCTCCCTGGGCGCAGTGACTCACACCTGTAATCCTAGCACTTTGGGAGGTGGAGGCGAGAGGACTGCCTGAGCACATGGGTTCAAGACCAGGCTGGGCAACTTGTTTCCACACTAAATCAAAAAATTAGCTGGATGTGGCAGCATACGCCTGTGATTCCAGCTGCTTGGAATGCTGAGGGGGAAGGATCGCCTGAGCCCAGGAGGTTGAGGCTGTGGTGGCCACGAGCATGCTGTTGCATTCTAGCCTGGGTGACAGAGTGAGAGAGACTCCGACTCAAAAAAATAAAAAACAGATCTCACCGATTCTGAAAGGACTTTCCAGCAACATTGTCTCTATAGGAGTCAAACAAAACGTGGTACTGATCTCGGCTCCATTCCAGAACCACCTAGGAAAAAAAAGAACAATGTTTTCTTTGCATCGAAACCTAAGAGTATATAATTTTCATTTTATTTCATTTCAATTTCATTAAGAATTGCTAAAGGAGGAGATAAAGCAATCAAAATTCATTCGTTCACTTAGCACCTACCATATACCAGACATCATGCTAGATCCAGGTGAACAAACTAGCTCCTGACCCAACCAGGTCTCGCTACTGTCTCGCTATGCTTGAAATGGAGTAGGGAAAACAAAGAGGTCTGAAAGGATGGGGTATTTGAATTGGCTCTTGAGGAATTAGTTCACCAGGTAAGAAGAAAGGGACAGAGTCAGTCAGCTGAAGAGCACACTCACTAGGGCGGCAGAAGCGAGGGCAGGCTGCCGGGGGTGCTGTGCACCAGCTTTGCTGTGAGCACCAGGTAGATGGCTGGATAGCAGCAAGTCTGGGAGAGGAAGCCAGGCCCACCTGGGCCGTGCCTGTGAGACTCAGGAAGCAGAGGCCTTGAGGAGTGTAAGGCAGCTGCACAACACACCTGCAGTTGAGGAAAGACTGTCTTCACAGCATATATGAACACAAGTTGAACACAAAGGGCTGCCAAGACATGGAAGACCACGGCCTCACCACCTATGAGATTTCAGCTGATGCCCCTACTAAATAAATACTTCAGGAGCAAAGGAAAGCTTCTGAGAGAAACTCCATCACGTCTGCATCCCAAGTCTATGAATCTACCCATTCACGGGCCCCATTTTCCTCTTCATTCTTTTGCCGTGGAGGCAGTGTCCCTCCACTGTCCCTCTGCTCTGGATCTCACCAACTGGCATGTGCTCAGCTCCTCTTTTCCTTCCAATAGGGTTAAATTCCCATTGGCATATAAACAGATTCCAGAACCTCAGAATAAACTGCCATTTGTTCCACATCCTTTCCAGCTAGTCCCTCAACCCCACATTCCCTGTTGTGTCAAGGTCATCTCCTGCCCTCCCCCTCAGCCAACAACCTGCTCCAAAGTCGCTTCTGCCCTCACCACTTCGGTGGTCTCACGGAGGCCTCCACACTGTCCAA